TTTAAACACTTGAGACGTAGCCTCTAGAAATACGCGAAAAAGGAATAAGAAGCCTAGTGGCCGTGCTTAAACACTTGAAACTAGCCTCTATGGGTACACGAAAAAGGAATTGAGAGCCTAGTTGCCGTGTTTAAACACTTGAGACCAAGCCTCTAGGAATACGCGAAAAAGGAATTGAGAGCCTAGTTCCCGTGTTTAAACACTTGGGACCTAGGCTCTAGGAACACGCGAAAACGGGTCCGTGCAAACATGTTTATTTATATTCAAATTATGATATTTGTAGGAACATGCAAGGATTTAAACACACCTACAAAAAATATCCTTGCATCTTCCTTTATAAATTTTTTTTTTATAGGGCTTCCCGGAATTTGTGTCTAATTTACTTGATGGTCTTATTGTGTGTGCATTGTATTAAATTTTGTATTTAAAGGAAATCGGACCTGACCTGCATGGATCTTTTGTTATAAATCTACGTGCACATTTTAATTCTTTTCGAAAAGGGGAAAACCCCTATTTTATTTTAGGTGGCACGCGCTGCACTGGATGGTGTGATTGTGACATCACCAAGCTGATATAGACAAATAGACTGTTTTTTTTTTTTATTTCTTTGCAGACGAGACGTCGTCAAGACCACACCCATGTGTATAAAGATTGTGCTAACAGATTTAATTTTCTTTCATTTACAGGTCATTGATGTCAGATCATGCATGTTTTTTTCGTACACATATTTACGGGAGCACAGAATTGTATTTTAATGCATGTTTAGAAATTTTACTAATATTTACGGACTTTGGAGAGATTTCTACGTCATTGATTTTAATTTCTCAATCCAGATTGTAACGTCAAGCGGACTGCACGTGATTAATACTGCTAACGGCTATATATTTTCTCGATTCATTTTGCAGGTAAACAAACTATTGTCCAATCGCTGACCACTGGTCTACATTCATTGCATGCACACTAAAATAATGCTGATGTTATATAGTACTATAACAAAACGTTAATCGATTAATTTTCAGAAATACATGAATTGGAGCAGATTTTTGCAGGAGTGGATTAAGTTTATTAATAAAGAAGTTTATTCGTAAAAAAGAAGGATTAGCATTTTTATAGTAAAATAGAAATGGGATTGCTCAAAAAAAAGGGGAATGGTGGCTAGAGGGGTGTTTGTGGGCCTTGGATGATTAACAAAGATAAATTGCATGTACGCATCATGATAGCTGTAAAGTTTGAAACTATAATTAGCTAATTTGTTCATTTTTCCATTTCAGTGGCATGGAACCCCCCAAAAAATTACGCGTACCATTTCGACAAAAGCTCTCCAGTTAAACCATGTCGCGACTAACATTTTGATCACATTTTTTTTAATTCTACCCCTAACTTTTTTTCTGAATAAAAGCAGCTTGAAACGAATGTCCTTAGAACATGACCTTGACCTTTGACCTTGACCTTTGACCTTGACCTCATTTTCTAAGTTGGGACCCAAGGACCTCAAATAAAACGACTCTAGGTTTATACGGCTTACGGTTTATGAGTTCATATGCATATCACTTATATCAAATGCATAAGGGGTAAAAACTCTCATATGGAGTCTCCGGATGGCTTCGGTCAACATTGAGACAGATCCTGAGGATATAATGAGCAAATTAGTAAAATAATTTTGTCGTAATCTTTTACGGTTGCGAAGGAGTAGTGGACACAAGAAAAACAGTGTTTGGGGAGATAACTCTTACAAAGTAAAGTGTTCGGTTAAGCAGTGTCAGTTTCAAAAGCGCAATAACTGTTCGACATCATATATGAAAAATCTAAGCGACATCTTGCGAAACCACAATACTGCGCAAGAACAAAATGTGGCGGAAGAAAAAAAAAAAAAAACTCAGAACAAAAGCAATAGGTCTTTCCACGGAAAAGTGGAAAGACCTAATAATCAGAACAAAAGCAATAGGTCTTTCCACGGAAAGGTGGAAAGACCTAATGATGTGAGCACCAGTACTACTAAACCCTATGTGTCATTTGTCTCATTGACATTCATACCATATCTCCTTCAATAACGAACAAAACCCATACAGTATAGTAAAGTTATAAATGGCCCTCATGTAACAAAACGAGAGAAAAAAAAACAACAGCCTGATTAATGCTTCACAATAAACAAAAAACAAACATAACATGCAGCAACAAACAGCAGCCAATCATAGAGCTCTTGGCTTACTATAGCACGCGCAGTTACTGACTGCTCATTCAATGAATTGTTTGAACTTTTTTTTTTATTTGTTTTGTTATCCATGTTATCGAGGCTCCAGTAACATTTTCCAATACCGTTTCGAATAATTACACAATGCGAAACAATAACAATTCGGAATAAAAGGATTAGTTCAGATTTATATCAAACTCAAGGAAATTATAATGTATTAAGTTTTGTTGTTATCTGAAAAAGTAAAATATCAAATATATCGAACTCTAAGGAAAACTCTAAACAGAATGTCCGTAAGCAAATGGCAAAATCAAAAGCTCAAACAATCAAAAAACGAATGGATAACAACTGTCATATTCCTGATTTTATACAGGCATTTTTTTATGTAGGAAATTGTAGATTAAACCTGGTTTTATAGCTAGCTAAACCTTCCACTCACTTGTATGGCAGTCGCATAAAAAGTGTATGAACTTCCTCCTCTATTTTTCCTTTTGTATGATGTTTTATAGAATCTGATCAAATTAATTTCGCAACATAAGAAATGAAAAATAATCTAAAAGAACAGGTGGAAAGATAGGAAGAGGCAACGTTTATACTAATAGACAGAATACCGACTGACTCAGAGAGACACATCTAACCAAAATAAAATATCGAGCTATATAACAATGCTCGTAACTTTATGTTAAATGTATAATTTTGTCCAGTAAAATATTTCTTACTTCTACTAATCGACTTAATTTTTTGTTGTTTCAACTTTTAAAATAAGATTTTCTTACTCATAAACTATTTTCTATGTTTTACGAAAGAAACACATTGAGGTTTTTAAACAATCAATTGATTAATCATCATTTGACCATAATAGTTAATAACTACTCAAACAAGATAATTAAAAAAAAAAGAACCATTACAGCGATTTACATGCTTAATACAAGTATCTATGAAATAACTTTAAAAAAAAATCAATAAGAATTCCAATAGAAAATCGTGGCAATGCTTGCACTGATGTGCGTGTGTTCAGTGTAAATTTGAGAATTTGTGTATGTGATCTTTTCCTTTTTAAATGCTTTATCCTTTTTAAACATACATTGAGACGGATGAAGGCGAAAAGATTTAAAAAGTGTGTGCGTTTGCCATTTTTATCAGTAATGGTTCCAGTGAAGGTTGTCAGAAAAAGCGGAATAACTCAGACCGAAAAAGGTTAACAGATAAAACAGTTACAACTATAATTTTACTTTTATAGTTATTTATCTCTTTATTCGTGTTATTATAGCAAACATGAAACAGGAAGGTAAAAAATAATGCCTTGTTGATGTAGAAATGTATTCTGTAACATATTTTTCATTTTTGTACTTCCCAAGTTTTGAGAAAATATTGTTGGAAAGCCTTAAATTTGCTCAAATATCACAACAAATAAAACCTATGAGAACCTACAAACCAAAAATATGGAACTTACTGCGTCATTTTGGGGCCTCAAATAGCCGCTATTACGGTATTCGATTTTCTCATTGTTGAAGGGGCCTCGGTGGCCGAGTGGTCTAAGTAGTTACTACTGTAATCACTAGCCAGTCAACACTGAGGTTGTGAGTTCGAACCCCGCTCGTGCGGGTGCACTCGACTCCAATCTTAATTGACTAGGATTGTCAGTTTTCCTATCGAAGGTCGGTGGTTTTCTCCGGGCACTCCGGCTTCCTCCACCAATAAAAACTGGCCGCCACGATTACCCAAAAAGCGGTGCTAAAAAGTGGCGTTAAAACACCAAAAATCAAATCAAATCAATCTCATTGTTGAAGACCTTACGGTGATCTATAGTCATTTGAGATTTGTGTGATAGTTCTCTCAAACGTAATCATAGCACATCTCATCATTTTTTATTAGTGTTTACAACATGCATACTTTTTTTTACTTTAAGTATAGATTCTAGGCACTGACGTTAACCTTTACTGTTAAGTCCATTTTTGGTAATATCCTTTTTGCGTGGCTCGGTATTTTTAGACCCCGCTATTGCGTTATTATGCTTTGGTAATATTTTGTGTTCTTGTCTTTCATTTTTGTTTATGTACTTTGTCCCTAGTGTGTATATATAGAATTTTGTTTTTGGTTTTGACATACCTGTTTGTTTTTATAGTGATCAAGATTATAGCACAATGATGACTGCGCTACCCCAATTTTTTACATTTTACCTAATAAGTCTGTTTGTTTTGCTCACACATTGTTGTTAATATAATGGAACTCTTTGCACCTGTCATACAAGTGAGAAGGTTAAGCTATATTTAAAAAGCAAAAAATAATTAAATTTGAATTCTAGAATTTCATATCATAAACTGATTCATGTTTTATAAAGATCTCACTAATAAAGCATATAATTACTACAAAGAACTGTGTTGTTTATAAATAAGTCCATATAGTAGACATTTGAAATAATCATTTCAGCAATAATCTAGATGTTGTGATTCCATAAAATCATGCAATATAGCTTCTCAATACTTTTGAATACGCTACTGGTACCAAAGGAAATAATATTATGTGAACAAAGTTGCACTTTTAAAATAAGATTTGTAGATTGTTTTACGAAATGATATGTTATCATTCTCTCATGTCCTTTTAATGTGTATATTACATAGTTTTGTGCATTTGTTCTACAGACAATCGTTTAGCATTAATGCTATTGTATGAATTCAAAAATTGTGATCTTTGTTATACTTGTTCTGTTTGGCATCTATTTAAATCATATAAAGTAATACCTATGACGTGCATTTAGTTTCTATTTCTAGATTTAATTGATATTTTCGTATGAATAAAAACAACACAATTATAGAATTAGCAAATTTAATTGCATAGCAACATAATAAAAGCAATAATATTTGTTCAACAGACCAATTGCAAAGAAATAATTATTTAATGATAGTATAAAAAAGGATAACACGCGTAGAAGGGGTGGTAACTGTGCTTCCTGCACCTAAAACAGATACATGTAGCCAAACACATTCATTTTGCATATATGGTGGATCACAGCTTCATTATTTATAGGTCACAATGCATCAACATATGAGTCTTGAAAGCTTCAAAGTCTTGATGAAAATACCGTTTCTATTATTCATATATAGATAATCGCTAAAATTTGAATACGAGAACATAATTTTTTGGGGTGTTTTCAATGGGGTTTTTTCAATATACATATTTATACATATAGCTAATGGTTTTGTGTTTTATCAGATTAATTAGCTATCATCTACTGTTTGATGGCACTAAAACATTGTTTTTGTAATTTGCTCCAACCAGCAAAGAAGTAATTTTTAAGGATTAATTATTGTCATATTTTATAACACATCAATTATCTATAACGGTGTTGAACATGGTTACGTTTTATGTCCATGTCTTGCTTATTTATACAATTGGTATGAAGAGTTGCATGGTATCACTACTATGGATGTGAATGACAATATTGGATGCTTTTTGAGCTTTTCCCGTCAGATCTAACCGGGCTGTTTTTTGTTGCAACTTATTAAGTTATTAAAGGGTAAAGGTAATCTGTTGAAGAAAACCACATGCCTTGTTCTCTTGTGTTCTTGGTGTTTTTTTGTTTTTGTTTTTGTTTTCGGGTAAATGTTGCAATGTCATATTCCCCAAAATATCCACAAATCACCCTGTGTTCATTATTTTGGAGTACAGTGGGTAAATCTTCCATTTCTAAAGAAAATTATCTATGAAATTACTGTTATTACTGCTGATTGTTTACAATGATAACTTTTGCTACAAGTTACAGCGATTAGCACACTGATTAAATTGGATCCTTAGTTTCTTTGCTAAGTAACAACGAATTACAGTTGCGATAGTTTACAATGATTAGTTCATATAGTTTGGTTTCTATTTTTTTAATGGTGAGATGTGTTGTTACGTTACAATGACGAGATGACGAGATGTGTTGTTACGTTACAATGACGAGATGTGTTGTTACGTTTCAATGACGACATGTGGTGCTAGGTTATTTAATAAGATGGGTTGTAAGTTACAAAGTTTTGTTTCTTGTTTACAACTTTAATATAGTATTAATGTTGGCTTACAATGGTCAGTTTGGTTGCTAGGTTATAATTAATCATAATCACTTTCATCGTTAGATTACAATGATAAGTTATGGTTATAGACTACCATGTAAAGTTTGGTTGATGGCTTGCATTTGTCAGATTGGTTGTTAGATTATAATGATAAGATATTGTGCAAGGTGACAATGCTCAATTTGGTAGTTAGGTAAAAATCTGATTTTAGTTGTTAGATTATGATTATTATATGTACACTTGTAATTGTGGTTCTAGTTTACAAGGATTAGTTTATTTGCTTTGTTAGATAATGAGTTTATTGTTAGATTACAATGATTACATTTAATTGTTGTGATAGTTTACAAAGGTCAGTTTGGCTGCTGGCTTACAATTATTAGTTTGGTTGTTAGATTATGGTTGTGGTACTAGTTTTGTCAGTAAGGCTGCTTGGTTAAATAATGATTTTGGTTGCTAGATTATAAAACTAAAAGGTAGTAGTAGTGCTAGGTTACTGCGATCAGTTTGATTGCTCGGGCTAAATTATGAGTGTGGTTGTTCTAATATGTAAAAAGTAAAATCACAAAAATACTGAACGCCGAGGAATTGTGTTCAGTTATGTTGCTAGGTGAGATAATGAGCTTTTTTGTTATCTTACAATGATTACATTTAATTGTAGTGCTACTTTACAATGCTCAGTTTAGTTGTTGGCTTACAATTGTTAGTTTGAATGTAGATTAAAATAACTAATTAAAATGTAGTTTTAGTGCTGTGTTACGTATGCGATCATTATTTCATTCCATTTCAAATTTCAAATTTGCCATGAAATCCAGAGTTGCAAAAATTCATTCTTGCTATTATATTAGTAGTAGTGACGATATCGGGGCAAAAACAAATATACTAGTATACAAACAAAAACAACTGTACATGATATAAACCAATACTGCTTCCAAAAAGGTTGAGGTTCAGAAGGGTAATCTATGACAGAGTCCATAGGCTCAGGTGTCAATACCTGAAACATAAATATATTTTTATATACTAGTAATTGAATATCATTAACAGATACAACTATAGTATACTTCAAAAACAGCAGGTATGTGTGTGGTTATAAAGATTGAAGCTTATTTAACATTTAACACAATGTGTGGTAAATGTTTTATTGGTTAACACATATATATGGGGAAAACATCAGAAAGTTGAAAAAACCCAGTAAGATATGACAAGGAGATCCATAATAAATACTCATAACATCAGTTAACCCCATCTCATACACCAGTAAAATTATTAAGCATACACAGTAAATGATAAGTGTGGTTGTTAATGAGACGTCTATAAACTAGATGGCAAAATACGTGAATTAAAGCAACTTTAGGTAAGCTTTGAAAAACGAGCTAGTTAGCCAAAACTGTATGGTAGGCTATCAATGAATCCGGCATGAAAACATGGAAATCATGCTTATCCATATTGTCAGCGATCAACCTTTGCCGTAACTTGGGACTGTGGTAATGCAACATAACGTATAAACAAACTATAAAACACTATTGTAAATGACTTGACTCACCAGATCGGTACGAAACACAAACAACTAGCAAAATAGACAGAACCCACAAAGCACCGATCTTAGATTACTCAAAGCTTCTCAAAGCTGTTTAAAAATAAAATATGGAAAAAAAGAGTATAACACCGAACTCCAATGTGAATTCAAAAGGGGGAAGACCGCAAAAACTGGCAAAATCAAACGTAATCAACGAACAGAAAGAGTGGAAACAACTGTCATATTCTTGAATTGGTACAGGCATTTCCCGAAGAAAATATTGGGTTAAACCGGGTTTTATAGCTTGCTGAACCTTGTATGACAGTTATTAATAGTTCTGTTGTAGTGACAAAATTATGAGAGTTACCGAAACCGACAAAATGGGTGAATTTGAAGTAATTTGAATCCAGCAGCCAAAACTATATAAACATTTGAAAAAATAGAGAAAAAAAATATATATGTAATAAAATCGATCAGGAGTTGTCTCCCATAGACCTAGGACTCTAAAATTATGTAACTTCTCCAGGTCACAGTGGCACCCAAAATAACTTTATGTTTATGTCAATAACTTGGTTAATAATCATGTTACTTTGTGTGAATGTGCATTCATGTATTTAGTTTAAATGTACTTTAATCATTCTAATCATTCGAATCATTTACTGTGCTTTATTTTGTAATTCATTTGATTGTATAGCTCAAATTTTGGGTACCAAGATTGGTTAATAAAATTAACTTATCTTATCTAACACCACAGACATACAACACAACTGACTGAAAAAATCAAACAAACATACAAATAAATCTAATGAAGGAAGTGTTGTAGTAGAACTTTAATTTGACAAAGCGGGAGGTTTGGCATGCCACAAAACCAGGTTCAACCCACCATTTATTTCTTAAAATGTCCTGTACCAAGTCAGGAAAATGGCCATTGTTATATTATAGTTTCTGTGTGTGTTACATTTTAATGTTGTGTTTTTGTTATGTCGTTGTTCTCCTCTTTTATTTGATGCGTTTCCCTCAGTTTGAGTTTGTAACCCGGATTTGTTTTTATCTCTATCGATTTATGAGTTTCGAACAGCGGTATACTACTGTTGCCTTTATTTATCAGTTGATAGCACATACCGTATATATCTTAAACACTGAAAACCCACGTGGGGTTCGTGTCGCTTAGTCTTAAGTTTTCTATGTTGTGTCTTGTGTACTATTATTTGTCTGTTTGTCTTTTTCTTTTTTAGCCATGGCATTGTCAGTTTATTTTCGATCTATGAGTTGGACTGTCCCTCTGGTATCTTCCGACCCTCTTTTGCTACACATGTATGTTCTGCTATTTTAAAATCAAATTAGGGAGCTACCATTTGATATTTATGGGGGGCTAGGATGAAAAATTTTGTCCTGCATTTTTTTTAGTTGTAATCTCTGTTCTGCCTTTTTATTTTTCACTCTGTTCGGTCCTATCTTTTTTTTTAAAGTTTATCCTGACTTTTTTTTTACCTAAATCGTCATCCTGACTTTTTTTTGGCAAGTGTCGCATCCTGCCTTATATTTTACTCAAAACTCCTGTCCTGCCTATTTTTTTCAAATTTCATCCTAGAATAAAAAAAAATGGTAGCTCCCTTATTACCCCTCGCATAAATCGTAGAACTGGAATATCCAATAAGGGAATTGTTGTTTTTGTGTACTTCAACGAAGGGACAACATCCGGACAGTAATTCCTTATTCTAGCAAATCGTGTTTCTGGAATTCCTAAATTAGTCAAGAATGTTCTTTCTTTTTCCACAACTCTTGGATCATCGAAAGTGTATTTATCTGTCTGTGTAAATACTCCATATATGGTAATTTCTATAGAATTAAAAAAAATATGATGCATAAAAATTCATTAAAATGGATAGAAAGATGCACATACAGAGAGGCAAATAAGAAAATCATTCAATAATATACACTTTGTAATATGTAATGTTAGGTTAGGCTGTCAGGATATAAATACATTGTTTTTTTTTCGGAAGCGTAAGGAGGATTCATACAACATATGAATTATCAAGTTGTAACTTTCGGTTTCTATTCATGAGATTGGTCTTTCTGTATTTGACCTGTGTTGAAATTGACTATCTGCATGTTTAAGGGTTCGACCTGGAGTATGAGAGACAATAAAGGTATTGTGAGTCTGTCAAAATATTGAACTCAAGGTTTGCTGATATTAGCATTTTAAAGTCGGGAGGTGGCAACATAACTCATTACAATGTTAATATGTACATTTGTCCTACGGGTAACAGTTCATTACTAAATTTAGCTGCTTTTGACTACAGTTATTATTAGGACCATACAATTTTCACGTACGCATAAAATAAAATGCAATGAGAAACTGTAGACGGTTTAATAGGAGAAAAAAATCCTATTCAATTGGTCTAATAGCGAAATTGTGATTGTGAGTTGTGATTTTCAAGAGTTATATACAATAATTGTGTCACGTCTTAAACGAGACATTTTTTTTCTGGAAAAATTAGAAAAAAATGTGGTATCTGCGTTGCAGTGCTTTTTTGACTTATTTATTGATTTTTAACAATATATTTGCATTCAGACTACACATATGCACATGAAACTTCAGATCTACTTTAAGTATGATTCTATGATGCATGCATGGGTATTCTTAATGAAGGCATTTCCTTGATGGATGGTTGCTTCTCCCAAGAAAGCTATTTAAGCTAGAGTTACAAGTGGCCAAATTGGAATCATCCCTTCGTAAATTTTACGAACGCGTTGGTCGACTTTTTTATTATCAATAAATGAAATACCAGTTTCACAGATGATAGCGGGTATGTTCCAATTGGCGAAATAACAATCCAGTCCCCTTTTCCCCGAATAAAACTTATAACTGGGTTTGTACTAACATGAGTAACAAGGTGGGTGCCACATATGGAGCAAGATCTGCTTACCTTTCCGGAGCACCTGTAGAGATAACACCTGTTTTGGTGGGGTTCGTGTTGCTCAGTCTTTAGTTTTCTATGTTGTGTTTTGTGTACTTTTGTTTGTCTATTGTTTTTTTTTCCCCCTTTAAGCCATGGCACCGTCGGTTTATTTTCGACTTATTAATGTCCATTTGGTATCTTTTGACTCTCTTTTATAAACATAAATATAAACAAAGTCGTTTCTTTATTTACGCAAAACGAGGTAATTGTCTTTGAAATTTTCTGAAAGTCGACTTTACAGACTAGTATACGAACGTCAATACCCTACACTGACTACAGTAAACAGGAAGCGTAAAACAGTTTAAGTATTCGGACTAAATACTGAGTTGAATTTGATAAAACCCCTAAAAAAAATTTCAAAAACATTGTAATGGTATTTGAAAACCAACTTTTTACACGAAACATTGCAAACTTTCCTTTAGAAATCGTGTTGTTGGTTCCTTTTTATTGTCTCAATTGTACCTTCTGCCATTTAATTTTTCTGACTTTAATTCCATTAAAAACAAAATGGGGAATATGTCCATTGGACACAAATGATACCCCCGCTACATATCATATAAAGGGACGCTAAAAATTACGCTACCCAAATTTGTACTACATGTAGATCTGTATTTTGTGGTAATAAGCATTGTGTATAAGGTTCATAACATTTGGTTGAGGCAAACTAAAGTTAGAGAACGGAAACGAAAAATTCAGCAATTTTTTTGTTTATAAAGGGCATAACTCTAGGATGGTAAAAGTGACGAGACCCAATTTCGAACTTGATCTGTATTATATGGTATAAAGCAGTGTGTATAAGTTTCATAACACTTGGTTGAGGCAAACTAAAGTTAGAGAAAGGAAACGAAAATTCAGCAATTTTTATGTTTTTAAAGAGGCATAACTCAAGAATGATAAAAGTGACGCCACCAAATTTCATACTTGATCTGTATTGTGTGGTATAAAGCAGTGTGTTTAAGTTTGATAACATTTGGTTGAGGCAAACTAAAAGTTAGAGAACGGAAACAAACTTTGGGACATACGTACGGACGGACGTACGTACAGACGGACAAGGTTAAAACTTAATGCCCCCTTCTCTACGGCGGGTGCATAAAAAATTACAACTTACCTCGATTCCTGCTCGTGACGTCAATGATAATTTCAAACAGGTCTTTTGGTAAACTCGCATCAGGGTTAGCTGAACACACAACTATTAATCTGTTTACTCTCTCAATTTTCCTTCTGGTTCTTAAATATTTTTTTCTCAAAGCTTGTATACCATATCTTCTATAATACGAATCAATGTCAGAAAATTTCTCGCCGTTCTCCATTTTACCACTGAGAACTATGTTAAGCAATTCCGTTTTCAAATGTGTGTCTTCATCTTCGAAACCCTTCATGTCTAAAAATGTTGGCATCAAATAAGCATCCTGGGTTCCGTAGTAGTCCTCTTTTAAGAACCTATATGAACATTTCTATTCAGTTACTAAATATGTAATTGAATTTTATTTTGAAATCACAGTATTTTTAAAGGAGTATGTTAAAAACAGTACACAAAAATGACATTCTCAATAATAAAACCATACATGACATTTAACTGTGAGCTTTCCATTTCTTTGTAGCCAAATTCCAGCAGCACCTGCATATAGAGTATATACATGTATCTACCACTTGGTAAATAATCCAGAGCTTCCAATTCAAATCATTATTTCCTTGATACAGGGTTGCTGTTTACAATAGTTATAAAAGGTACCAGGTTTATAATTTGATAGCCAGACGCGTGTTTCGTCTACATTAGGCTCATCAGTGTCGCTCAGATAAAAATAGTTAGAAATCCAAACAATTGTATAGGTGAAGATCATTGAGGACCCATTTACAAGAAATCTATCAAACCAAGAGTTCCATGTGGGGAAGTTGGAACCATCCCTTTGAAAATCATACGGACGCCATCACAAGTTGGTTGAAATTATATGGAATATCTCTTTCACAGATATGACGATGGATATGGTCCAATTGTTGTAAGCACAATCCCAGTCCCGTTTCCTCGAATGTAACATACCAAATCAGACTTATTATCGGGTTGTAGTGAGTGAGCATATGTGGTGCAGAATCTGATTACCCGTCTAGACCACATAAAGATCCCCCTCCCCGGTTTTTGGCGAAGTTCAAGTGCTTATTATTTAGATTTCTACATGTGTGCTGTTTTTTGTGAACTGTTGTTTGTCTTTTTATCTTTTTTTTCTATGGCATTGTCAGTTTGTGTTCGACTTCTGAGCTTTAATTTCCTTTTGGTATCATTCACCTCTATTTCAGCTATAACACGTAGTCTGTGGTTTTCAACAATAAGCAACTGGGTTTACCATGGTCAAAATGTAAAAACTCATCACACATTAACTAAAAACAACTCATTAATCGTCTTTACCGCTGCAAATACATATAAATACATGAAGAAGAAACAACTAGAGGTCTAATATCAACACACACACTAAGTATAAAGAGAACAACATCACAGAACGTTTTAATGAACAAAATGGTAATATAAATCGGTGGCCGGACTTTAAGATGTGATTATATTACCTATTTAGAACTCAACAGTTCCCTTTTCACAAAAAAAAGTCCGATGAGACATTAGTTCATTACCCGGGATATACCCATATGTCATAATATATCTTAATAGAAGGCAGGCAATCACCTTACGCCGAAATGTCTTTCTCTGCATCCACGAAAAATAGCACAAATTAGGGGCAGCAGTAGTTTGCTGATGTTGGAATTTCATCAATTCATTTAGAAGATAAAGTGAAAGAAATACAATAAGGGAATCGCATTAGCTATAAAAAGAGGACTTGTATGTAACAGATTCGGCCTCTTCTATTATGCGCATATTACACTCCGTGTGAATCACACTCATTCATAACTTTATAATCGGGAGTAAGACACAAGACAGGACCACAGGTACGTGTACAAGACTGGTGAATGATTGCATGCATAACATTATTTTCACATTATTAAAAGGACAACATTTTAATGACAGCCGTTTCAAATTTTCACAAAAGTGTTGGAATCAATTATTATGATTATTTATTATAAGTTTTGAAATGCTCAGAAATATGTAGGCATGCTTTTGAAATTGGTTTAAGGTTGATACTCTACACTTAAAAAAACATGAGGATAATGAGGACATTAATAAAATAATGATATTGCGGATATGCATTTAAAAGTGTCAGGACTATATGTGTAATTATATCGTATTCTAACCGTTTAAGTTGTTGAGTAATCTGTTTCCCTGTTTCACCAGTGTCAGCACATTTTGCGTGTTCGATCCATCGTTTATTGCCCATAGCAGCAAAAACAGTATTAAGAAAAGACGACTTTCCTCCTCCAGGTGATCCAATCACGGCAATTGTTAGCGGTTTTTTATCCTGGCCGCTTATACCAACTAAACTCTTACAGTTTTCAAGTAATCTTTTCTTTACCTTTTTAATTTGCTGGGTGTCTTTAACCTGCTAAGATATAGTGAATAAACTCATCATAGATACCAGGATTGAAATTTTATATTTACGCCGGACGTGCGTTTCGTCTACAAAAGACTCATCAGTGACGCTCGAATAAAAAAATGTTAAAGGACAATCAATAGCTTATAGCTTTTTATTACCATACACGGATTAAAAGGCTTAGCTTAGATATAAGAACATTTAGAGATTATAATTCTAATGAACTACGACAATAAAGGACTTTTTGAATGTTACATATTTTTAAAAAAAACTCCATATTTTATCGATGTTCACACATTGAAAACCGACGAAAAACAGAAACATTCTGGTAAAAACAAACATCTACCAACTCTAAAAGAAGCGAGACCAGATGCGTCGAGAAGGCAAGCGTTTCCCTCAGTCAAAATGTTACATTCGGCATAAGGACACAATCAGTAAAATTCAAATCAGCCGACTATACTGATATCTAAGGAGTGCAAGGGACAATGAAATATCTCATCGGTGACCTAGTATCAGTTGAAAAAGGCTTAACTCATCAGATAGATACAAATACAAATACTACACAGAGTGGACGTGGCCGGGTACTTGTACATCTCAACAAAACAAAGACACTTAGTACAGATCTGAGAGTACTCGCAGTTACTGACATTTTTGTCATATTGGTTTTAAAAACAGGTCATCAGGTAGTGATGCCCAACTAAATCTACTGAATTATCATTCCACCTAACTCAACAAATGTGTTGTCGGTCAAAATTCTTTTTGATTATATCATCTTCGGTGGGTTTGTTTTGGGGATCAGTGTGGTTCGTCACAAAGTAAGGTTGTTGTTTTCATGTGATCTTAAGCTTCCTATACCAGTACAGTCAAATTAATATTTAGCAACTGGAACATCAATGAAGTTTCCTAGTTTATTTCCTTACCGTTTTCCTTGGACCGTCGTCACATGTGGGAATAAGAACCTGCAAAAATATTGTTTTTGTGTCAGAACAATAAACACTAATCACACAGATGCAATTGGGTAATAATAAAGATATTGACGTGAATAATGTATTTATCGTTTTCCCTGTAAGGCAATCAAAACTTAATTTTTCGGCCTATGTTTGCTTTATCTCAATGGTTTGTCCATTTAGATTATAATACATGTAGAATATTCAAAGAGATAGAGTTCCGTCTCAGCGGCAGACATTTGTCAGTTTGTTGGACGGCTTTTGAAATAAAAGAAACCGGGGACGAGTGTAACTTGATTCATGGCAAGAATATTTTGTTCTGCTTGAACATTTTTTAATTTCGTCTTATCTTTCGATAGAAGTGTTGTGTTGTTTTGTATTTTCACGTCAGAACTTGATTAAAATTCATATTGAAATTATACTATCAGGACGTATATATCAAAAATAATATATGCATTTTACAGTATAAGATTCAATGATTACTGCTATCTTTACGTTTGAGTATAAAAATATTGATACAAACTTAAGGTATTGTGCAATATTTTAGTTCATTCGTTCTAATAGTTTCTGTGATGTTATGTCTTTTTTGTTGTTTTCATTTGAGTTCATTCTTTGTTATTTATTTCACTTCTAACCTGGTTTTCGCTTTTGAACATTTAGATAATTTTATTACCTGCATTGGTTAAGACAGGGAATACATCTTTTTTTTAACATTTAGAAATAAACGCCTCAATAGGAATTATCACGGCGCGTATTAACTGGAAATTCTGATATTTTTTTAATAATCACCTGTTTCATGAACTGGAGAACTGGTACGTCGAATTGTGGAATAGTTGTATTCAAATATTTACGGTCCGGATCAGACTCTTCACAATAGTTTGTAATATATGCAAACCGATGTTTTGGAAGTCCAAGAATCTGACAAAAGTTGGTTACTTTCTCTGAAACTTTCTTGTTATACAATGGATTATATTTATCTCTTCCTGTCAAAACTCCATAAACGGGAATATCTATAAAAATAAGGCACAATAAGGAATAGTTAATCATTAGCTAAGAACCTTGCAAAAACTGTCATACAATATACATTTATACATTGCAAAAATCATTATTCATTAATATATTACTTCGTAACTGGCATTTAAATACGGATTTTGTGTTACAAAATATTTGAAATAATCTAAAATTAAGGCATGTATCTTTTTTTGCTTATAGCTCTTCATTTTTTAATAAGCTTTGGATTTTCAAATAATTTAGACTCGAACATCACTTAAGAGACATTGATTGTCGAAATGCGCATCTGTTGTAGCAAAATTGGTACCGTTTATGTTATTACAAGGAAACATTAACAACTTTTTTTCTAAATCTGGATGACAGATGGGTATACATTTCGTTTTAGGACCCATTTATAATTTCATATACTTGGCCAAGCAGATGTGTGACTTCGTGTGAATTGAAGACATTAAGAATGAAAAAACAACAATATTTGTAAACGAGTAAGTCTAACATAAATCGTGTTCATATGAAACTATATTTGTGTTGATTGATGTGACTGTTTCTTTGATTAACGTTATAAGTATTCAACTACATGTATTTTTATAACATTTATATTATATATATTTATTTCATATCGGTTAAGAATTATCTTCTCTTATTGGATAAAAAAAAGGGACACATGACATTCTCTATTCTTCAGTAATAAATTCCATCGGTCTTTAACAGAACAAAACGGACCAGAAATCGGGTCGTTAATGGACTTTAACATGTTAATGACCGATGGGGCGCGGTTTCTCTGTTAATGACCGGTGGGGTGTGGTTTCTCTGTGTAGAGAAATGTCCCTTTAATAAAACATTTTCCTGTTTTCAATTTTATATTTAAGTTGTTGAATTGTTTACCATATGTTTTCGTAAATTATAAAATTATAGAAAACTTTATTTAGTATTCATATACTGAAAAATTGCACTTAAATGAATGGCAGTGACTTATAGTTGCATGTATTACTACGATTGCTCTTCACTCTTTGTTATAGAAATCGTACAATAACTGGAGTTTGCTTTGAACATTTTGAATTTATGAGAATTTGTAAAAGCATGGTTCCTCAATAAAATAAATAGTTATTGAAGAACTGGTCATCATCACTGTCTTAGTCATTACCACTGTCCTGTGGGGAGTCCTTATATCACGATAATGACTAGTTTTTCAATAACTATCATGTAAATAATACATCAGAAATGCCAGTGAACAATATTACTTAACATATGCTGAATTTTAGATATTCTTCTGCTTTAAATGTCACGAAAAAACAATTCGTGCCTCAAAAAATAAATATTCGGAAACATACCTCTGTTTTTTCGTGAAGCTTCCACTATGCTACACAATAAATTAGATGGTAAAATAGAATCAGGATCAAGCGTGGAAACAACAATGATTCGATCGACCGGTAGATGATTGACTTCTTTGTTATAAAGATTTACACTTGAAGACATGTGTTTGGCTCCCTGTACGAAATTCGACATTTTCTGTAGCTCTTTGATTCTACCAGAAAATACCATCTCTAACAGATCCAGAACAGTTTTAGAATTTTCATCAGGAAAACCAGTCATGTCCAAAAACGTTGGCAACAAAACACCGTCATCTTTGGAGCCTCCTCTGTAGTAGTCCTTTTTAGTGAAGCTGCTCAAATAGAATAGGAAATATCGTTCTTAAGCTTATGATAAATAATTTCCAGTATGTATAAAAGTTGTTATTCATATTTATTTAATATTGTCGTTTTAGAATTGATGAGTTGTATTCATGGTTTAAAATACCTAAATACAAATATGATGAAATGACCATACCTATTATCTTGTTTAATTTTCAGTACGAATGAAATCTTTTTCCTTTCAATACTAGTATTCATTTCAGTTACAAAATATGTGAACGGATGCATGTATGCTACAAACTTTCTACTTTCTTAAAAAGTTTCTTTTTTCAAATGTCAGCTCTAAACTGCATTTACACAAGGACGCAGTATTTAGATATAACTTGAGACAACCAATTACCATGAAGGTTAAGTTTCGGAATTGTACGTGCTCATTACTTTTTTGAGAGGTTCAGCTATTCCTCTGTTCTGAGACTTCCAGTCTTCATCTTAGTCACAACAAAAAGAAAACCAGAGAAGAACGTACATGTTGCTTTAAAAATTACACAAAGCTCTTTATGATCGATTGGTATTATGAACGGTAGGCAAGACAATGCTGTATACTATGTTTAATAGATACAATGGATTAGTGTGGATTCTTGAAAAAGAAACCATGAGCCCGGAGGGCGAATGGTTTGTTTTTCATGAGTCTACGCCTATCCATTGTATCTATAACTTAAACTATTGCGTTAATTTCTTTTCAAAATTAAAGCCTTTTCTTAATTAGAAGGTATTGTAAGTGAGTTTAAATAACCATGTTATCGTGTCAATCGATGCATTGATAAATTTCAGATCACAATTAACTGGTTAACAAAATACAAATATAACAGAAAAGTTCTACCTTTTTAGATCTTCATATTATCACGCATCTGAATATTATCTGTTTTTACAACATAAGACATATTGAAACTTATTTCTAATAAAATTGAGAATTGGAATGGGGAATGTGTCAAATAGACAACCCCATCAAAGAGCATATTTAAGTATATATAATAAGTATGTTACCGAAATTTCTAGCGAGAAGCTTAATTCTAGGCACATCACGATTATCTCGCATTAGAATTCGCGAACAAACATTTGTAAAAATCATGTAGTAAAACAGATAAAATCAAATATTAAACAGCCAATAAAGTCCACAAATAGACGGTAAAACTCGCTATTATTACAAAATTATCCACAATAACATACAAAACAAGAAAAAAAAACCAGGAAAACTAACGAATAGGGACAACAAAGAGAATTCAGGGATTCGAACCTAAACCGACAAGTAAATATCTTTAACTCATAGATGTCGACCATGCTAACCTCGCGGCTATTAACTTACACTATACGATTTCCTATTATTTATATATAAAGGTACAAGCCCTGTGTGTCTGTTGTACCGATATATATTATATGTTCATTTATATATATATATATATATGATAGACATTTAAATTATAACCCATTGGTAGCCAAGAGGTTTCGTTGATATGTTAATGTCAGTCACACATTACAGATTTCAAGGACGGGTTCGAATCCCAGGGAAAGCATATATAGAAATTACAAAAATTGAAAGTAAGTTTTTAAATTAATTCTATTAGTGAATAGAAATCAGTAAATTAGTCAATTCAAACTTAATGAAATTAGGAACACAAAGGAAACAATTGAATATAATTTGGTGAGTCCATTTCAGCGACAGATTTAGGAAGCGTTGATTCTAGAAAAAGAATCCACGGTAAATGAATAGGCTGACGTCACAACAATGGTTTAACGACAAATAATGTAAGAAATATCTTCTGATAAATTAAAACATGACGTACTATGATATAATATCGGTATTTGCACTTTCGACTAAATCTTATGTAGATCGGTTTTTGATTTCGCAGTAGTATAAATACACTTTTATTAAAAAGTCTACTAAGACAAACGATAGATTCAATTGATAATTCATATAAATACTAATTGCTGAATTGGAATTAAACTAACGCTTGAGTAAAAATACCGCGAATTAACATTTGGGGATTTCGGAAGTTAAACACTTATTGAGTATATATAACAATACAATTAGATCCACATTGGCTACCATGTTTTATTGGAATTTAGTCAACTCAGAAATTGAATTCACTAACCTTTTGAAACGTTCCGTGAAGTGTAATTGAGAACCTTGTATTTTATAATATCCAACAGGTGCAATTTCCCGCCAACTGTCAGTATTGCAACTAGCAAAAACCGTGTTGAGAAACGACGACTTTCCACAACCTGGAGCTCCAATCACGGCAATGTTTAGAGGTAATCTTCCTGATCTGTCATTTCCTACAAGTTGCTGGCACTCATATATAAGATTTAATTTCTTAGAATACTCGGGATCATTTTGTTGATTATTATATATATGGAACACTTCGGTTTGCTTTTCTTGCACATTAGCATTTTCCCATTTATCATCGTCCATTTCTATTCCTGAGAAAATGAATATAGGACAATATCATAAACAGTAAAAGTTAAAGCCTCTTAATTCGTCTTACAACAGAGCCGATCTAAACGTTAACTGAAATTCAGAATATCAATATTGTATGTGACCGTTAAGCGTAAATTTCGTACAGTACTAGGATATTTTGCTAAACTCAATACGGTAAAAAATAGTCCAGATATGTCTTAAAAAGTTGTTTTAATAGATTTCAACACATTTCTAGTATATTTTACCAAAGGGTTTATGATACAACCAATTCAAGGATTAGAAACAAACTTTGAGCAATCGCAATTGTGTTCTTACCGGCCGACAAAGCAGATTACAATGTGGTATTGTTATGACGCGATTACTGAACTGAGGTTCTTGGGAATGGAATTGTAAATTATCCTACATTGAAGGCAGTACGCTCCACAGAGATTCAAATAGTAAAACAGTCACCATCACGTCTCAAATTAACGCCTTCTCTAAATACCTTCAATGTATTGCCTACTTTAATTTTGAAAAAAATGTCAAATATCGATTCATCTCAGCTGTTTGTAAGTGTTTTTCTTCTTGTGCTGTTAAATTTAAGAAACGTGTTATAATTTATGCGGTACATCATATGAAAGTTATGAAACCCATTATGTTAAGGATTGTAAAATCTCGTTCGATATTATAGATCAAGTAATAGCTTTTGATTGTCCTTTCAATTTGGTAAAGTTTTTACCTCACGACACTCTTCAATACTAACACAGAAATGTTTTATTCAATAAAAATGATCTTTTAATAATCTGACTGTTATTGCTATTTGCTGCAATTCATTTAAAACTTTTTTATGTAACGTATAATATGATTTTTGTTAATGTTCAGAATTTATTGTCCTCCAGAAAGTGATGAGTATAGTAAATTATTCATAGTGTCAATTTGTTTTATCATATTTCTAGGCTCACGACGATTTATAGCTTGGCATTTTGTATATACACGTCACAACTGTTGATGAACATTTGCTGTCATCTAGATATCTTGCTGTCTGGTTTTGTTTCTGTCGTTGGGCATGGTTTTAATTATTGACAAAAATATCCTACGGAATTCACAACACAGTGTCGACTTCAAAACTAAACGTTTCCTATTCACGTCTTTTCGTGGACAAGTATTTTCCTATTTCCTATGCGGTAAGATTAAAGAGAATTTAATGATCTATAATTAGTTAGCGGGTGTGGATTAAATCTGAATTCTCAAATCAATAAAGAATAATAGAACCGCTTGAAATCTCAAACAATCTCCAATGCTCTTTAACTCCGTACTGTATTTGGCCTTAGTCTTTTTTATTCGAGATCACTGAGGAGGCTTTTGTAGAAGAAACGCGCGTCTGGCTTACAAAATTTTAAATACTGGTATCTATGATGAGTTAAATAAGTTCGATTTGGCGATCGTTTTTCGATTGCCGATGGTTTGATTGATTCTTGGTCAGCTGAATTACATCAAATGGTATATTAATCAACTCTCGTGCTCATATATTATGTATTATAGTAATAAAATGAAATTTGACGTGGGCTTTTTTGGTATTTTTTAATGGATGTTTTGAATTTCGTATATTATATAGTCCCTCATTATGTCATTCTTGATAATTTAGGTGTTAGAGTAGCCATATATTTAAGTTGAATCCTTTAAAGAACAGTTCTATCAAATTGTTCATTGTTTTAATTCAATCCAAACGGATAAACAAGTTAAATTATATTTACATGTCACATTCCTAATCAAAAACGAAAGTAGCAAAAAGTTATACCATACCTTATTTTCATCAAATTGTGTTCAACAACGAACAACGAATTGTCCTCATTAGCTTCCTTTTTTGTTTGTTTGGTTCCAGTTTAAAAATATGAAAACCATTTCAAATATTGTATACAATACACTATTTTAAAATTTACCTTTATTAACCTTTACAAAAAGATCAATTAGACCGTAACAACAAGGACATACTATGTAGTTTAAACATCGATCAATACCTTTATAAAGGGGAGGGCCATAAAGGGTTCATATTTCTTATACTAAAATCATTATCATTTAAAATGAACTTATCAAAGATAATGTTAATGAATAGATGTTTTGCAATTACTGAAGAAATTTATGAGGAATTTATGTGTAGATTTTCACGTGAGAGCGAAATTATACGTGTGTGTTGGGATCATATTTCTTAAACTGAAATAATTTTGATTTTAAAATGAACTTATCTAAGATAATATTAATGAATAGATGCATTAGAATCACTGCAGAAAGTTAAGAGGATTTCCGGTGTAGATAATGATTACCTTGTGAGAACAAATTTATACGCATTTATGTGTGTGTTTAGGGAAGGGGGTAAATTTATGTCTGTCTAACATCTAGAAAATGAAAATAGGGGGTCGATTGAGAACACAAGTTTACAACATAAGGCTAGGGATTATTACAGTTACTGTATGATTAACTTTTCATTTCTTCGTATCAACATTCTAGCAGATCCTTCTTACAGAGTATATATTACACAGTCGATACGAATTTCCAGAGTTGCGTTTCTATAATTATTTCCTTGATAGAGAGTTCTAAAAAGGATTTTATGGTTCCAAATAGAAAAAATGAAGTCATCTTCCGCTTAACGGACATCATCACGATTTGGCTTCTGTCACGCAGATTACTACGGATATGTTCCAATTGTCGTTACAACAACCCTGTCCTCTTTTCCTTCAATGTGACATAACTTATGAGACTCAACACAGAATGTGTACTAACGACGAAGTACATGTCGTTGTTTACTAATTGAGTAGTGCTGCCCACCCTTCCGAAGCTTTTAGGATCCCCACAAAGTTTTTTGGTGAGGTTCGTGTTCCTTAGTCTTAATTCTTATCTCATATTGTTTTGTCGACTTGTTTTTTGTCGTCTTCAGTTTTTTTGCCATTGGTTTACCACTTTATGAGTTATGAATGCCCCACAGTATTTTTCGACTCTATTTTTTACAGCTAAATGTATTTCTAAAACTTATCATCCGTCGATTGATTCTTTTTTTTTAAATGACAAAAACATCATGAGGTTGTCAAAATGTTTTGACCCTATTTGTGTTTTTTTTTTAACCCGGGAGTAGATATAGATATCTTATCATACTACATGCATTTTTTTTTTTTTTGATTAGTCTCGATACCCTTAGTAGCCTGGACATTTGACTAGGGGCCAATTAGAAAATCCTACGAAAACCTCATTGTTAGAGAAAGTATTTTGTATTCGCAATGTATCTGCTTTGTCATGATTTTTCTTCCACATATTGTTTTAAATGTTACATTCTAACATCATATCACAACCTAAACAACATCTAGCAAACATTTTTACTCGCACCGGTTTTATTGAGCGCCTTAAGCTTGCAAAGAGATGGGGTCGTCTATTTAAGGTTAGAGGTCTAAATGTGATATTGTGAAAATAAACAGTAATAAAAGAGTTGTTCCTATGCTTTTAACTTTTAAAGTGCGTGTAGAGATTATATATCATGAATTAATGAATTATCATGCCTTAATGTGCCTATGATTTCTTCTTATTTATTTTCTATTTCTTTTTCTAGACCGATACACCGATTTTTATCTATTGATTCACAAGCCACGATATTACTTTTGCCTCTTCAAGTCTTTAAAATGTAGCCACTACTTTTCGTCGCCTGTTAATTTGATTTGTAGATTTCTTTGTTAATGTATTACTTATAGTACAGACGTGTTGGATGGTCTTAGTGGTTATATTTTACAATGTCCTTCGGTGGTAAATGAGTTATAAGGTGCTTATTTCGTTACTTTTAATATCATACGTCTTGGCATCCTCGGCTTTATAGCGTTAGTTTCAACGTTTCTGATGAAGGTAAATCCATAAAAGCGCTTCAGACACACCAACTTACATAGAGTTATTTCCCATTACCCATAAAACATGACTGTATCCGATAAGTAAGAAACGATAACATACAAAATAAATCAGCAAAAACAGTTCAAAATTCAGTCAAATTCCACAAAAAAGGTATTTAACTACGAACAACTACCAGATTCGAATACATCTGAGACAAACTTACTTTATGACAATTGGTGATCATGGTGTTGAAGCGAAGCTTTTGGCAAACAACCTACTTAGTAAAAAAAAATAGAGAACAAGACTTACGTATATGGTACATGGTATTCTAAAAATAACGGACCACACACTTCAAATAACAAGAAGGATACTATTAATACTGAATTTAAAAGTAAATAAATATGGGGAAAATTTATTTTTTGAAAATAGCCAGGAAACACCAGCATTTGTTTCTTATTGTTCACATATATATGATGTTTAATAATAGGTAGATATTTTGTAAAACAAGTTTAACTCCACATCTTTTTAGGGGTTCGGGTTGTTCAATAAAGTTTTTTTTTTGTCTTTCGTGTTTTGCCTTGTTGGAGTTGTCAGTTTCACTTCAGCTTATGAGTTTTTAATGTCCCCTTGATATTTTCCGCCTCTTTTTTTTTTTTTTTTTCTTTTTGTGTGAAATAAGTTTGAAAAGCTGAAATATTATTATTTGAGTATAATTTTATTTTAAAGTTCAGGATTTTTTTTTATCATTAGACTATGAAATGTATTTCCCTTGTCAAATGCAGTATGCACAAAAACAGGGCTTCCTCGGTCGGGTTTGTGCTGCCGAGGGATATTGTATTACAGAGGAAATTTGATTAAACTGATTCATAAATGTAAAAAAAACAACTCATTATTGCGGTCGTTCAATTCTTTGTAATGAATTAACGTATGATATGTCTTCACAAATGTTATCACTACCTATAATGAGAACAAACGTATATTCATACTCTATCAGGCACTAGCACACGGACAGTTATGCAGTTTACTAAGCACAAAATTTACTAACCTATCACATCAAGCATGTTTCTACTTTTTCTTAAATAAGAATATTGAATGGGCATCGTTATTAACTACAAGAAGTTCATCGTTGTGATGATCGAAGTCTATACTCACGGGGCGGTCAATGCCATCTGAGCTATCCAAAATTACTCTGGCTATGGAGTTTATTGACTGCCGTACAAATATTGTGTCATTGCCATGACATGCTACCAATAAATTATCATCTTTGTCGGTTGTTAATCCCGTTGGATAACTTAGACCTTTGAGATGGTTTTTAGACCGTTTATAATTTGTTAGATTGTAAACGTGAATGCGCTTAGTACCTGATTTAACATAGTAAATATTTCCCTTATTACTCAAACGGATGTATAATTCGCTTTTCATATTATTAATCTGTTTTACTATTTTACCAGTATCTTCAATATACATTAAGCCTTTATGTTCACAGTTTACTATTAGATTGCTTTTGAAAAAAACGAGTCCGCGACAATCGTCATAAACATTAATTTCGTGTACAAACTGCCATTTATCTGTATCTATCACGCATACTTGTTTATTATAAATTACAGATACACCTATGTGATTGCTATTAATAATAACAATGCTATGTTGTATTCCAATCAGCAGAATTTGCCCCCTTTTCAAATCATCTTTGTTGTAAATCATACATCTAGGATTAGACTTCTCCGCTATAGCTATGTCATATTTGTTTGGCATCAGTTTTGCATCATTTATAACAATATGTTGGTTCCTTTTTTTTTAATAAAAACGAGTTTTTGAAAGCAAACTTGAATGATGATGAACCTTTTTTTAGAAATTGATGCCCATTGAACCTGCGTTGTTTCAGACACTGTTGAATTGAGCGGCAATTCTGCAGGCAAAGATGATTTATATGTAAACGGCAGATACAATGGTGATTCAGGAATTGATAAGGACAATGCTGAAGTAGAATCTACTGTTACGTTTGGTTCCCGTTTTACTGCTGAGGAGCAAGATATTCTGTCTACATTATCCAGAGATATATCCATCTTGTTATTTGGTTATATCAAAATGCGATCAATACGTATGGTCAAGGCGTCGTCTGTTTTCTCATAGGACAGTTTTTTGTTTGTAATAGATTTTTAACAGCATTCTTTTAGGGTCTGGTAGCGTTCGTTATAATTTTCATCCATGCATATCGATACTTCTACAATTCTTGAATGTTTTTGCCCTATAGACAGTTTTATAGTTTCTTCAATAAATTTTTTGTTTGTCGGTAATATATTTTATTTCGGCTGTAATATCTGTTACTTGTTTAATTAGTTCACCTCTGTTGTTTTCATACTTTTTGTTTATTTCTTGCTCCACTTCATTTTGAAATAAATCTAGTTGGTAATAGCCAATCTAGTATTTTTCAACTCTTCTTTGCACTTGTTATTGGTAATTTCTAAATCGCATTATCTGCTGCCTCAATGAAGCCATCTTTGCGCTCTTTGATTTCTGATAACAGGTTTTCTGTTGTAGTTTCCAGTTTGCTGTCGTCTGCAACGTAATCAACTTTGTTAACGTTGCAACAATCTTGGTATTGTCTTTTACAAAGTATACAACATAGCTTTTCGTGTTTAGTACAAAAATATTCTAACGATGTATCGTGATGTTTATCACACAATACCCATTTGTTATTTTTAACAGTAAAACCCTCTTTTTCCTTATCACATGATGCATTCTTAACGGAACAAGTAGGCAATTCGGATACGATGTGATTTCTGCCCAATTTGAATGACACGTGTTGGGATTTACAAATATGACATAGGGTTTTTCACAATCGGTGCACCAAAATTCTACTGATGAATTTCCTCCCTGATCATGACATGGTTGGCACTTCGTTATCTATAACACAGTTAAAATTATTATGTTTGAATGTAGCTGTAAGAAATTCAGTTAGCGTTGGTCAATGTCAGCTAAGAATCTACACCGATGTTTTCACATATATTATTATTTTTAGAATTTTAATTTCTGCAAAGACTGTCATTGTTCATGTTTGCCAAAATGATAAACGACAATTTGAGAACTGTTAAAGAGGTTAATGTTTTCAATGTTT